TCCTCCCCAAATTAGCGAACGGATTTGGTGTCACGTAGTACATTAATAAACGAACTATTCAAATTCAAATTTCGGCCCCTCTCAGTCACGTGTGTTCGATGTAAAAAGCACGCGAATTCACTGTTCGTTTGTTCATGCGTTTTTTTTACCGGCGTACAGCGTTTGGTCGTCGTAATTCTCTTTTTGCCGATGTCCGTTCAAGTGAAAATATTCCTATCCTCCTATCTCTACCGCACTTTTAGGTGATAGCGAATTGATAATCATTGCTTAAACTACGATGGTGTGAAATTACTGGATGACCCATATTCTTAAATATGTGTTTCTATTCAGTAGCCTCATGTTCCACTTATTCTAGATAGCAAATTATATTTTTGACGTCTCACTACTTGAAAGGTTTCCAAGAATTCTCCGTTAACACTAAACTTACTTCCAAATAAGTGTACTGCATCATTTTCCTCCCAATTGGTGCTTGATTAGATCATTGGTCACCCAAAACAATATACCAGTTCTTGCTTAACTGCTGCGCAGCCATGAGAAAGGCTGTCCACTGAAGAGTGGAAAAAGTGGGGAGTGGCCCTACGCATCCGTGGAAATCGATCAAGATCAAGGTTCCCCTACTTTGGAACAGCAACGAGGGTAACGTATCTGAGCCCCGCATCGAAGTGATCTACCGCCGGTGGGCTTGACCCGACGTCCTTTTCGAACCTCACGGAACGTGAGCCAACCATATAATCACAAACACTAGCTAGGTAGCATGAACAGAAAGTGTGAACGTGCTCTCTACTCGAACCGGATAACTTCCGTGTCCTGTAAGGTTTCAAACCGCTTACAAGAAGAATCTCGTGACTGGCTTCACTTACGGGACAATCTTCAAAACGTCCTCACTCTACCAACGATTAACCTGATAAATCTTATCTGCTGCCTTGATGAATCTGATTCATCCACAAGCACTCACTCATGCATTTCACTGTGAAAAAACAGCATCAAATACACACCAGCCAAGGTACTGATGTGCGAAATTAGCATATGTCCAATGTTCTCAGATCAGTAGGGTCAAGTTTCACAAAGATGGAATAAGGTGGCTCCTTCAGTTGGCGTGTGTTGCGAACATGTAGCTTCGATGAAATTCACTTCTGATCCCAGTAGATGACGCAAGTTGACCAGTGTTGCTCACGCCTTCCTAATACACGCACTGAATTGTTCGGTCACTATATTGCCACTGTCTTTGCAGCTGCGTAAACAAGTAAATCGGTCAGCAAACTCAATTTCAGTGGGTACAGGGCCGCACAGAATTCTGTAGCGGTGTTTAGCACTTTGAAGGTGCAATGCGTCTGTGGAAACTAGGCAACACATCCGAGAAGTATATCTAGTGTAGACTATGAGGGCCAGTGGTTCTTAGCTAATACGACGACTTCGTCACAATAATCTAGTCCAGTCCGCGAAATAATTCCGATACTAAGGGTTTCCATCATTTGAAGTAGGCATTCTTAGATTGTCGATCCTAAAACTGAACAGGAAGAAATTGTGGACGGCTTCGCCAAACCCCAGTAGTCGTAGGAAAGCTCTGGAGAGTCTGTTATGAACTTCACGACTTGAAGCATGTATGAAGTACAAAGTATGTTTAGCAATGTTGTAGAATGTAGGTAGGTCGGGTGCGCTGTTTGTGAGTGACCCACTCAACCCTGCACTGACGATGTCACCTCGATTGGTGATGAGACGTTTGCAATCCAACTGCCAAGCTCGGCGAACAGACCAACAACCAAACAAAGTATGTTTATAGAGTTCAGAGACGTTCTTGAATTAAGCGTATGTAATCTGTAGTGTCGAGGGTTTCCTTGATATCGAGGAGAAGCGCAGTTGTTGGCCAGTAAAATGTCAGGCGCTGCTCAAACATTTGGCGTAACATGATGATGTGGATGGTGTCTCTCCTGCCCGGATGAAAATCTGTTCGCTGCCATAGAGTTTGCCTCCTATGTACCGGGTTTTGGCATCGCGGTATTATTGAAAACAGCGGCAACAGCTTATGGCTTATGCCTCTATGGTTATTAAAGTTGTCTCACGCACACTTTTTCTAATAGGGGTATCATGATGGATTGCCCCAGTTGTCTGTAACACTTTTTGTTTCCACATGCGAAAGAAGACAAAATGTATCGCCGTCTTTAATTAGCGCCAATGGAAGCTCTTCTGGTCTGGCAGCCTGATGTGGCTTCAACGCAGCAGGGGGAGGGGCCGGGTGATATAATGGCATCCACTGCTCCTAAATATAGTACTCCTGAGAGACAACTGGTGGTCAGTAAAGTTGAAAAAACGTTCGACATCATTACTGCGCTTATATAGAACTATATGGAACTGGAACTGTATGGAACTATATCGTGGTGGATAAGCTAGTGTGGTTTTCTCGTAGAAGGTGTCACGGTGTCAGTACTACATTTTATGCGTAAGCAGGAAATATAAACTAAGGTCGATTAGTATTCCGATCGCTGTCAGTCCTAATGGGATCGGTGGCACAGAGTCGACTGTTTACAGATGTCTAATCAAATGTGGAAGCTTCAGCTTGGTGGCTGGAGGACGGTTGATGTGGCCTCAAAATGCTGTTGTTTGTGCAATTTGTGGTTTAATGTGGGCTGAGACACTGCCAGGTGCCGAAACCCTTGGCTCACAAGCCTAACTTCAAGGAAGTGGTAGACAAGGAACGGCTACACTATAGTTTAACGTTTAGGGAACGGGTAACCACACTTGTTTCATCTCTCAGAAATGAGGACCAGGGTGCTCTGTTTGTCAGACCTCTATCCATTGACCAAGTTGCTAATAGAGCCTCTGTAGATACTGTGAGCATTCTTCAACATAGCTGAAGAGGTCTCTGAGGTATGCACTTCGTCGCACCAAGATGAACACCAGTCTCATTGTGACGCGGCAAGTACTACGTGAGGTTTTTTGAAACTTGAGCACGCTGGACTCACGAGCCCCAAGAAGTGCGATGCTAAGTGTGGGCTGTCAAAGAGTTTTCAACGATAGCAAAATTCTTCAGAATGCGAAGTTATTCAAATATGAAATATAAGCATGACGAAGATGCTGCATTCCCTTCACGATTGGTTAGTAATAGTTGGTTGATGTACTCTAATCGTTTTGTCTGAATATCTCTGTACAACGCCCTGGCACACATTAAGTGTGTCCGGATGATCTCTTAATCGGTGTCCCTGCATTGCTGTTTGGGGACATCCACCAAGTTCTGGAATCGTAGGCTAGCACTTTTATACACTCGGTCTGTCAATGTACTTTAGAGATTTTCACTGAGGTTGAGGTCCGTCTTGCATGGGGGCCATTCTACCAGTCTGATGTCAAGCGACAAAGACCAGTTACTCACGAGTTGGGAGCCACGTATTACTGAGGTGCCGTGCTATAGTAGTACCTCTTCCTGTGCTTCCTCGACAGTTGGAATCGTAATCTCTGGTGCCATCCACTTTCGCTAATTGAATTCTTCGGCGAACTAACATAAAACTAGTACCAAGCGCCTCCATTACTTCGTCTGGAACATGTTGGCTCTACTTTTGTGCATCTCGTGTATCCTAAATGGTCTAACAGCCGAGTTGAATATACGCACCATGTTTTCGGTGTTAAATTCGAAACCATTTCCAACTGAAATGTTTTTAGTTCGGATATATTTTAGAAGTACTGCAGCATTGTGGATTGTATGTACTATTCAGTAGATGCGTTCATATCATTTACTGCTTTCTGATGCGATATCAAATGAATGAGAAACAGGACAAGTCATTTGATTTAATCGAAGAATGTCCTTTTTGTTCATCCACAAGATTTAGACTCTGTCCTTGGATATGGTGCTTTACCGCATTGCTGAATTGTTTCAATCACCCTTGGAAATCGGGTACAATAAAATGTACGGAAGGCGGACGATTCCATTCTCTTCGGAGGACAGCTAAGGTCACTCCTCTCATGTCTCACTGCGTTAGTCTTATTGACTGCGGAACTTCTGTCAGTCAAGTTCGTTGTGATAGGATTTGCAGTCAGAGAGGATGTGAACTACACTTGGACCTAGAACTGACGATTGATAGTGGGAAAAAGCACCATTGTCTTGTGGTGTAAAATCACTCTCCCGTCAACGAACAAAGCGATCATTGTGATAAATTGGTCGATACTGTACATCGAAAAAAGATCAACACGTGACGCGCATTTGCCAGTAATTTTAGCTAGTACAGCTAAGGTCGTCCTAGGAAAAACCGATTTGGAAATTAGAATAATCTGTTAGTATTATTGCTCAACTAGGTACTATGTAAACGTTTGCTGTGACTTGGTTGAATGATTGCCCACAAACGGTTTTGTAAACCTAGGTACTTGTATTATTTTAACGCGGTACTTTTGGTGTTTTTTCATCAAATTTTTGGTTTGAGAAGCTGAATGTTTTCCGTGTACGTTTTAATTGTCGTCAAGGTAGTAACTTCGACACGAAAGTTATGAGAACTCTGGGTAGTCCCATAGATTTCTCGGTGAGTACAGTATTGCTAAACATCATGGTAGACGAAGCAGCAGTAGGTGCGGTCAAATAAAAGACCTGCCTTGTAATGAAGATTTTAGGTGTGAAGAGGGTACAATCTAGATAAATCTGAAGGTTGAACGTATCTTGATTCAGATAGTTTTTGTCCGTTGATGAATAGCATCATCTTATTGGTAGGATTGCTGTATTTTTTTAAAGTTACAAGATGTTCCCTAACATCATAATCCTAAGAAAGTTTTCTGTGTCCTGACTCCGTCTAGGTCTTTTAACCGTTTGGTGACCCCGTTCAAAATCGTTTTATCATCCTGTTAGCGTTTCTTTAATCTGGGAGGGCTTAACTCCACCTACAAAACTGGTACATTCAACCGGACCTGTCAGCACCAAATATTAGAGACTTTTCATTTTGGTCAATATCATAAGCCTGTTACTTTAATGTGTTAGTACCTCAATATAGCTTCATTTTTACAGCGTTCTATGACTTATTCTTCAGAGTGCTCATTTACTTGTAACCGTTCTTCTGATTGCAGAGTTCCTCGCCCCTGTAAAGCGCTGGTTCGATGTTCTGTTGCCCAGACTGAAGGAACATCTTTATCACAAAGGTGGACCGGTGATAATGATCCAGGTAGTACAGGGCTTTGTAATTTTCAAAATAGAAAAGTAAACAATTTTTCATACGCGCGTCAAGTGAAATATAACGGTTCTCAGCTCATTGTGAGCGCTTATCAAAAGAAGTTTCAGTGTACCTCAGAGAAGAAAAGTGATGCCGAAACCAGTAGCAGAGAGCCGCTGAAAATTTGTTATCTTCACCAGCTTGAAAACGTATGTTGAGAAGAATCAGGCTAGGGTCTAGCTCCTCTTGAATTGAATTTATGACATTTTCCTCCTCGATCAGGATCTGTGCAGCTAGAAACGTGCATTGTTTTTATAATTTCTCATTCCTCTTCTGGACACTATAACCATTACTTGGTGGAACAGCACCTAAAATGTCACTCCGATTTCTAAAAGCCCTACAACCAACCCTGGTCTTTAGCTCTCAATGGAGCTCATCGTGTAGGAATATAGTGGCCCATCAGTCACCTCTTTTATTAGGAGTTCCGCACCGTAAAGTGCGGCTCAAACCGTTTGAATTACTTCCCTCTGAAGCTGTCTTATAAAGGGATCGCTGTACTGGACTGTGAAAATGGCCTTTCAACACTCATTCTCCGAGTTCTTCTGGACGTTTTTTCCTTTATCGTATTTTGTCGACTATTTTCCTTCAGAAAATGCCAGCGATGACTGCGTACGTGTGTGCTTGATTGCAGTCCTGAGAATGTTTTGTTTAATATGACCGATCATTGATAAGATCCGCTAGTTTTCGGTTATTTTCATATCATTTTTCGTGACATTTGATAGAGTTATTTACGTAACTGTGCGACGCACTTACACATAAACCATGTGTGATACTATGAAGTCGATCCTCCGTCGTGCACAGTCTTCATTCTCGTGAAAGTCAGCAATACACCAGTGACAAACTTCCACGCAGCCATGAAGGAAGTCCATAGCGAAAGATGAAAGGAAAGGGGATAGGTAGGTTGGGTTGGGAATTGATTGCAAAACGTCCTTGTTCCTGCGGCGGTGATCCATAGTAGATCTTGTCGTGGGCACAGTTGCAACCTGCCTTTAATTGTAGGTTCCAACAGTTAGTCTGCTACTCAAAACACTTAGGTACAGGTATAAACAGAAGGACACGCCCTGAAGCTGAATTTCGACTATCGAACGGTTGTTGTACTGAGGTCGCTTGCTTTTACTTCATACCTAGTAGTGTGTGACTCGCCACGCATCTGCCTGTTGGATTATTAGATACTGTCTAAGCATTTCGGCATAGCCGGCAACTTTACGTGAAGAGCCATCACAACTTCTGATGCTGTAATGGCAGTGGTTTCGCTGGTGTGTCTATTACTCGATTCTCTTTTGGATCGCATCACTGGATGACTGTCGAAGAAACGATGTATTTCTTCCGCTTCCTTATTTTGCCACAAAATTCCAGCCACCATCTTTTGAGCGTCAGTAGTCTTCTAGTATTTTGCCCTTTCTGGAGCTTCCCGATAACCAATTAGTTTGATAGCTGTCTCCCATCTGCATGACTACCTTCAAAATCCCTGTACTGCGGTCCCTGTAGGGATGATTAGTTAATGTATAAATTAGGGAAAGGTTGATGGAATGCGCGAAGATAAATTACCGTTTTGGCAGCCGACTGTTGTAATGAGACTGCGATTCTCATACGCGAGATTCAATGTCGAAGGGACAATAAAACTACACCGGTTAGGTTTTTTGTACAGCTTGTGGGACTATACATGTGTTGCAAACGAAACACGTTTTCGACAAATACACTCATTTGCATAGCAATTTGGTTTTCACGGGAAACTCAACTGAACCTCTTGTTTATGGTATTCTTCAACTAAATGTGCTACAGAGAGGCCACCTCGTATTTCAGTTGGTACGATTTGCGAAATATCACAGCTCCAAGCGGGACGAAGCTGGTTGTGGGCTATCGGAAGCTTGGGAGTATAGTTTCCTTTATGAAAATATTGTACCTACTAAAACATGAGGCGGCCTTTACGCAACACATTCAGTTGATCAATATCATAAACGAGAGATTCAGTCAGTGTATTTGGGTTCGAGTAGAACATAAGTCTGACGAAAACTCGGGGACTGTGCTTCCTTGATGAGACGTTAGAAGGGTGAAACCGGTTGCGGGCTTTCGATCAGTTTTCAGCAACCTTGTGATAAGTTTCCTTCATATAAACATTTTTTATGCATGCACTCTCTGACATATGTCTCACTGATTGTCTTTTAGATTGAAAACGACTATGGAAGTTATGCTGCTTGTGATACAGACTACATAGGGGCACTAAACGCACTTGTCAGAGAGCATCTTGGCCCTGAAGTGCTCGTGTCCACCGTTGACATCGGAACAAAAAACCATTTAAAATGTGGATCTCCCTTCAAGTTGAATTTGGCCACAATAAATTTTGGTCCATGTAAGTCTGACACATTCTGTAAACAAAATGAAATCGGTCGGTTTGTGGTGACCTTTTGTGGTCACTAGTCTCGAAATGTCTCTAAGCTGAGCAATAAATGGTGTCAGGGAAGTGATTACCTGAATGGTAGAAACTAGTACTAAGGGTTCAGCTCTAGTGCGTCCTACACACTCAGTTACATGTTTTTTTTAAGTGTACAAATCTGATCATTTGTTTTCACGTCTCGGACAGCGATATGTGAAACATGAACCCTTTTCTGTTAAGACATCTAAGCAACGGATTCTCCCCCACATACCTTCTGCGGGTTCTTGCCTGTGCAAAGCGAATAGAAAACTAATCAACAGAAACCGAAATCAAATAGAAAGTGGTAACACAAGAGTCACATTCGAAGATGTATGCGCAGGTGCAAAAATCCGCCTCAGAAGCTATGTTTAGTACTCATATGGTATAAGGTTGAATAGACACGTGTTTGAAGTACAAAGAGATGCTGGGTCTCACGTTTATTCACATGACACTCGGTCGGCTGTTTGTATTGCATCAAATGGGAATGACTATGAAGACTTCTGAACACAAAACAATGGCATGTGGATGTGAATCACGCCGGCTTTACCTGTGCACAAGGTTCTTATTCCCGTTTATCATGCTAAGCTTGAGTTGATGTGATATGTGACCGTAAATTTCGCCCCAGAATCAACTTGATGTCCTAGTTTTAACATGTGTGTAAGAATTGAGCTGTAACACTCCCTCCTCAGTCTTTTGGTCAGGCGAGATTGGATGCGCTCAGGCGCTCACTTCAACAACATTCTTATCGTTCACATGGGGAAATGTGTGTATAGAGGTCGTCTGATGAGACAGTTGATCACAGCTCCTTCAAACAGTTACTAGTTTGGTGTTCGCTGCAGCTGCTGTGGAAGATAAGCTGTCATAACATTTTCACACTTAACCTCACGGCTTTACCATTCCTCCGATACCTTGGCTTTCAGCTATTGTTCCCACAGTTAGGTAGTCTCATCACTGAATAACCTCATCTATATTTCTCAAAGTTGAAGGAATGTAGAACAATTATAGCATTATATGGATTACATATTTGTGGCAATCACAAAGGTTTTCGAACTGTCGTGACTTCATTGTTGTTGGAGCACCAACAGCTTTTCATGTTCCGACGAATTCTCTTTTTTTACAGTGTACAAGTGCAACTCCTGACCGCTTTGCCCTTTGTCTAAGCGAAGTCAACAGCTACCACTGATAAAAATGTATATGGCTCATAAAAATCTACTTGAAAGGCATGAAGAACATACTGAGAGGATCACCTGGTCTCCCTTAGTATCGCGATTTTTCGTTCGGTAGCCTACTATTAAGGTAACAAAAACGGAGCGGTAAGCAAGACAATACTTATCTTACTTGTCAATACTGAAAGCTACTACAGTGGCTGTGTAAGCACGGAACCGGGATTGAAAATCTCAAGGTTAATGTGACATGGACCAATATAGTTAACACTACACCTAACTAGTTGGCGAAAATGGTAGTGGTGTTTCCCATGAGTTTTCAGACACCTTGCATTTAGCGTTATAGCAAGGGAATGGCTCATTTTTTATATCGTTCCAAAACGAACGTGATGTAGCAGTTGCGCATCCCATTTAGTTGAAGAATATCATAGATGGGGAATTCAACTGAGTCTCTCATCGACATCATCTTAACTTGTAAATTGTTATTTCTTATCTTCAGATATCTTACCTTAATTCATTCTTAATCTCTACTTCATTCTCAAACACTCCTGCAGTAGTTTTCGGTATTGACCTGTGGAATACATATTTTGTTTTGTGCTGATTCCTGATCATGACAGTAGATGGCTCAAGCACGTGTCGCAAAATTAAATGTTTCCGTCAGCACATAGATCATGCTTCAGACTTATTTCAACCAAATCTTATATTCATGTGCAAAAATCGGTAGTTCAATGTGTTTTGAGGTTATATTCTCGTCATCGCCACCAACTATGGAAATTTACTGGCGACTCACTAGCTGGATTCATACTGTTAGCTTATCCTCCTCGTGGGGATGCCATCGCTCAACTCATAGTCACCTCAATTTTGTGCAGTTTTCGGCAGACGTGCCTGCCTATTGCTTGTTGAGAACTACAGCGACCCTGTGACAACATTGTTTACCTCCACAGACAAAGGTGAGCCTGACGATAGATTTCTGGAGTTATTCGAGTTCCAGCCGGAGACACCGTGGGTAAGTCGTACAAGTGTTTTGAGATGTGAGATATAAGTAAATAATGTGTACTAATCCAGAAAGGGTAGAACTTTTGAAGTACCAGTTTTTTGTACGAAATCGATGAATCCCGCAGATAACGTCCTGTAGTTGGTTTGAACAACGCATGGAAATAGACCGAATGATGTGAGAAGGTCGTTGCGGCAGAACTACGCGCAATATTTATCACTCGTGGGTATCTACGAGAGGTGTGTTTCGGATCATGGGGTCATACTGGTTTCGTTGCAACTTAAGCCACCAGAAATAGTTCGGTTACCCTGCTATCTGTCTGTTTTACGCCCGAGGATAGGGGGATACTTAATATCCGGAAAAGGACAGCGCGTACCACTGATATCTTCCGCTAAAGTTTTGAAAACTTAAACCTAGCTTGGCCAGTTTCAGCGCATTTAGTTGAAAATGGGAATCTTCAGAGGACCCATGTGGTGTGTAAAATCATGATGAACCAACGTTAAAGACGCTTTTTTCCGAAAAAAATGTTGATAAAGAGGCAATAAAAGTGAGAAGTGTCTTAGAGACAGAAAAATAACATTACGCTGCATGTCACCGTTTAAAATTTATTTAAAGTTCCACATTTCGAGCATTTCCTTTGTGAATACCCTATAGTCTTGGAGAACCTGTAGTGATTTCTTGATAATGAGGAAATGGTAGAATTAATTTTTAATGCATATTTGACAAGGTCACGATCATGGTTTCTTGTCTCTGTACAACGAGAAATGCTCCTCCTACCGAGCTTTTAGTTCGCCAAGAATATGCGAGGGGCTGTAGATATCCTGAGTTACTTAGTACTGGTCAGTTCATTCAAGAGTGGAAATGATAACTTTTCTATGTTGACGTAGCTCCTACGGTGGGGCTTGTGCTCTGACAAGTGACAACTTTACCACCCGAAGTATTCATGTAGTTTATCCCAATTAATCATTGATCTTCACAGACAACCTGTTGATTATCAGGCGAAAATCTGATGACATACTTTCTGGTAATAAGTAGCATTGATCGCTTCCTGGAAGCTCAACTGGTAGATAATGAGCTCTTACTTGAATGCTTCAGGCAGACTTGGTTCAGTTTAGTTCTTATATTACTTCCATATTTCTTTCCAAGCACTCATTTTTAGTATTTTTGGTATCAGCTGACTATCTGCATGAACTATGTATAAGTTGCGTAATGTGTCTGTGTGTATTACGGGACGTTACAGTCAAATTTGTTTGTCAATCACTGATTCTGCATGTCACTGAGTTAATTTGAATGAACTGTCAATGCAGAAGGACAGTTGGATTACTGTCTCTCCCTTGTTGAGGTAACAGAAACCTGGCGTTGTCAGGTTCTAATTAGTAATCCTGAAATGTTCTGCTCACTAATTTTGTGATTCATGTAAATCCACTCCAATTGCATAGATTATCGTCAAGCTGTTGATCTTTTGTGATGCTCTTCTAACACCATATCTTGGTGTTCCCTTACGTCCTCGTTGAGAATTTGTTAGGTCTCTTTAACCGAAATCCAGATCTTCACGCTTTTACGGACAATTGTCATTATTCCATATCCCAGGTGAACTCGGAATATTACACCGGTTGGATGGATCACTGGGGTTATCCACACTTTCAAATTGAACCAAAGGTATTCATCGATCGGCTTCTAGATCTCCTCTATTATTCACCAAGAATCAGTGTGAATATGTGAGTTCTTTTGGCTCTAATTGTGTCTGAATGGTGTAAGATAATGTTTGCACGAAACCCTTTTCCCCCATTTTTGTCAAACCTCCGGTCGCCTCATAGCTCTGTATACGTTTCTACATCAAGCTTTTTCAGACGTTGCATAATTGAGCCGTTTTATCACCCGCACAATTGACAGAGTACTCAAATCACTATAAACTTGGTCAAATCGCAAAAACCGTTATTGAAGTCTTCTGGTAACTTAGATTTTGGAACCGAGTGACTATCCTTTTTTGGCGGGAAGTCATTTGTTCCTCAGCGTGTACTGATCCCTCTCAGGACTGTCTCAAGTGGACGGTAGCAGAAGATATATTCCCTCTGAGGTCCGTTATTTTTTATGAACAGACGATTGAAGATAAAACTCAAACTTAATGAGACTCTCTTCAGTCTGCCACCCTTCAAAACACTTTCTAATAACTGTTCTCTGATAACACTTGCTTTGTTTGAAGAACCAAATGTTTGGTTAGTATTGGCAACACTTTTTCGAACGGTGAAAATACTGGCGCATTCTCATTTTGCTTGAAAGAAAAACAGCACACCGCCCTAACATGATCGCTTATTAAGTGAAGTCCCGTTTCTCATGTCCTGTGCTTGTCAGATCAGTTTGTCGTAGTAATTACACGTTTAGAGCTATGCCACCACTGTCAGTTAACCTTCTCGGTTATGTAGTCGTGTAATGTTTGCCATACTGCAGTAGGCATCATTATAACAAACATTCATCTCGAAATATATAGTCCAGTGCGAATAGATGAAGTGCAAATGTGACAACAAAGAAGGCGGACTGAAAACTTCGACTGTTGACGAAATTTACCGGTGCGTGAACGAGTCAGTAAATATTGTTCCGCTGACAATCTTATCTTGTTTCACTTCGCTCAAACACGAGGCCTCTAATCTACGCTACACACCGTCGAAAGCAGTCGACATGTGCGTTTGCAGAGCTCATCGTGACAAAACCAATTAGCTTATTAGCCGTCTCAGAATAGCCATCTGAATACGCTAGAAGAATACGCTAAAAACGAAAGCAGTTGCAGATACCCAGTAAGAGTAGGTCATTTAGTAGTTGGCGAATGTATGATTTGTATTTTTAAAGTACATCCAAAATTGCGGTTTGTCAAACCTGTACAGTACAGGACATAGAAAAGTGTGCACCCGACTTACTAAGTAAACACTTAATTCAATATTACCGTTACAATTCAAGATATCTGGGGCGGAAAAACCCGACAAAAGTGTAATCCCTCCGACAAAAATTTTCAACCTATCCTCACCTCAGGCGGAGTTTCACGTGAATTCGTTATTGGCACGAAGTGCTACACTGGCCTTCTCAACTGTATCGATATTGCCAATGACATCGAAGTGTAAATTTTACTTCATGTGCTGTTCCACGTTTCTTCACAATTGAGGAGCCACTCAGCTGTCTATTGCAATGACCATTACATTCGACGTGAGAAAGTTCAGTTGATGTTCAACGATTCTTGGCTAATATTCTCTAGGTTTTCTACGTTCCTGTGCATTCCACTGGACTCTGGCGACCAACTTATTTCCTCATGGTTGATCTTAGCTCTAACCTAGCTAATCGTAAAATATTTATTATTTTTGGCCGGGCTTCCGACCAGCTGTTACATACTATTTTGTCGTGTCATTTTTGTGAAAGTTACATGTTCCACGGCGGAACTAATTTCGGATTCTGGAACGGTGCCGTGGACCGCCCGTATAGTTCCCAGGTATCCAGTTACGACTACAACGCTCCTTTGTCTGAGGCCGGCGATATTACGGATTTTTATCTCGATCTGAGGCAAGCGATTTTAACGGTAAGTTTTGGAATGTGTGAGCGTGCTTTATCTTAAAAAAACTGCGGATTCCTTAAACTGCAGCCAACAATCTAAATGTCACTGACTAAATAAAGAACACTCCTCTGTCGTTCTTGTTTATAATCACTCTCTTCATCGTTCGTAAGATATAGTGCAATGACCTGATAGTACTGTTATCAATGTACCTTGATTCGTTTGTCTATTTCATTACTCACCAAATAAATGGGCCGTAATTTGTCATTCATCCTCTGTGGTCGTTTTTGAAAACTATAACAGACTGAACATGCGTTAAGTGAACCCCAGTCCAATTCGCACTTCTATCAAGCCTTCTAGTAGCTCGACCAACTAACGACCAACAATATACTACTGCACAGATCTTAGTTTGTTGATCCCATCTCTATAATTTGCGCACCTCACGTAATGGTGTTTTCGTTAGTATTTGAAGATGGTTTAGATTAGCGCTTTTATCGCCTCCGGTAGCTTTGCTCACAGATGCATTCCAGCTCCACACGAAAACCAGTGGTGTCATGGATAGCCAAGAATGTATGCAAGTTTATTAGTGTGCGATATGTCAGCTGGTAACCGAGGATGCGTATCCCTATTTACTCGTTCTCGCTCACAAACACTTGGTCGTAAGCTAAACAAATTACCGAGAAGATCACATCGGAATCTTCGCGGATATCATCAGACGGGATGACCGTCGAACGGATGGGCAAAGATAAGGTTTCTGGAAGAGGTGTGGAAAGAGACAAGATCGAGGGATCCTGATTTAACCTCTCGACATCAACGTTTGCGCTGAGCATTGTCACACAAATGCTTATGGACACTCCACATGTCATGCAAACGTACACACCGCGATAAATATTTGACGCTGACTCAGCGTTAGGGTGTGCCCCCATCTTTTGATCCTTGAGTCGGCTTAGGTTAGACGAGGCAAGTCTCTTAGTTCGTGTCATGCTCGTAATATGATAACTATTGGGTGGAGAAACAAATGAAGTTCACAGGCTATATGCTGGACAGCTTCTCCATTCGACCTAACTTTGAAGCACAGCATAAACATTGAAGATAGTTGTTTTGCAGGTCTGTGGTGCTGTGTTCTGGGGCCTTTTTTGGACAAAGCTTGCCGTTAGTGCCAGCCATCGGGCACAAGAAAAAGGAAAATAAGGGAAGGTCTAACTGCACGGTTTTCTTCCCGGTAGGCAAAGGGTAAATGTCCCCTAGAAATCCAGGTCTGCCAGCATTGAAGGATTCCGTATACATCGACTTCTTTGAGACCAGATTTTCCGATTCATTAGAAAACTAACATCCTTTTATTGGCTCAGAGCAACATGGCTGAGAAGTTGTTGGGCTTCCCTACAGACATGTGGATAGTTTGATATTAGTGATACAATGGGCATTCTGGTAAAATCAGGGCGCTCGAACATGACGTGCCAGGCTGTGTAATGCTTCTTTTCTTGTTCTTAAACTTTGACCCAGAGTCTTTTTAATCGACTGTTCATGAACTAACTGACGTTCACTAATTAGGCGTTTGGCGCCAAAAGCATGAAGAGACTTCAAATAGACGCGACTGTAGCAGCTTGAAATATAATTAACCAAAATGGTTCGCGTTCACCTGATTAAGAATGGCATGCCCACTATAATTCTGAAATCACGCATTAATGTGTGTTTCGAATCTTGGTCCATGCGTTTTTAGGCATAAATAAGTCTTGAACATTTTTATCATCGTCCAATCAAGTTGTCAGGCAGCTCTATCAGCAACGAGATCCCGGGTGAAATTTGATCGTTTATTCTCCTGTTTCTACATTATATTTTATGAGTGAACATGGTGTATCAACCCGTTCTCCAAGCAGTTCACCTCAGCTGTTTAGGATCACGAATGGATACATGTTGTTTATTGTTTGATTTTAGTTCAAAAACACATCGGGAGTGGAAGTACCCAGAAACACCACCAAAATTGCCTACGATGCAATACCAGTGTATTTGGTAAGCAAATCATTGTGATTGTGTCATTTCAAAATTCTCAGTCGATGGTGATACAGTACAACCTGAAGCTTCTGTAATTTTTGTATAGATTCTGACATTTCCATAACACCGTATTGAAATTGTCAGTATTTTAGATTTTTAGCTTTCTGCAGAATTGCAAAGACATCGAGGTAGTTTCATGTTTGTGAGTTTGTGTGTTGTTGTTTTCTAAGATGGTGAGTAAATGAAAATTTGAATGATAATTGCCGAAATCCGGCCGCAAGCGAGGTCGTAGCCATTCTGGAGTAATTGATTGCCGCGGATTTGTAACGACTCTCCGTTTCTTATTTCGCATTCCGCCTCACTTTTTGTATCAGGTTTCGCACCTCATTGAACATGTCACTGGTGGTTCGAGTGCCATGGTCACAGTTAGCATGGAGGCAGTGCAACAGGTAAGATTTTAATCACCCTTTAATCGACTATTATAAAAAAATACCCGTTTAGAATGGCTGGGCAATGAACTATACTAAAATTGTCTGAGGGTTGTCCTGAATGCTCTAAGCTCATGGAATTTTTGAAATGTCCTGGTGATGGTGTCTCTGCGATGTGAGAAGTTCGTGCGCTTACATTTGAGATATTTACTGCTTGCATCAAACACTAAGTAGTGCAACTAATTTTCTGCCTCCGTGCTAACATGATCACATGTTTTGTTTTCTACTCTACCGCACCACAATTTGATGCTCTTTGGTACTATAACTGACCGCTTCGTTTGCCACTTATCATGTTCAGCTGCAGGTTTTGTAAATCCGTCTTCAGTAACAGCGGTAAACACCTCGGGGTCTGCTTCACTCCGATGGCTCGGTCATATGCATGTCATGCATATGCATGCCGAAACACCGTTTACCGATGCGAGTGTTACGTTCCGCCTCCCGTTCAGAACGACACAAACCGCGAGGTAGACAATGGATCTAAACGAGACTAGAAAAAGTTTAGGTATTTTTGCTGTGGTCAACGTTCAAGGGTGGTGTCTCCTGCACTTGGCTAGAGACAGCAAGAAATGGGGGCTAATCTATATTAGTGTCTTCTGTTTGAGCGCATCAAGGTAGGTACATGTCAAAATGCTTGATAAAAACCAGCACTAGTCCCCTCCCTCGCCCACTCTTTTTACCCTTTACTTCAAGTGTAATTAAATAAATTTTATGGCTGTATAGTAATGAAGAATTAATGTCAACACTTTTTCCCTGAAGATGATACCTAATATTCTGATAAGTGTTTCTAACCCTAACTGAGGTGGCAAAGTCTATTCACACCATTCACTGTAGAACTCGGTGAGGTCAACTGGGACCGTCTTGTTGGCTTATTTTTATTTGAGCATAGCTTTCAGGCTTGCATTTGAATATGGTGGATACATTTTTCAGTGTTTGCACAATTATATTATAAGATGTGCCTATCGGGCAAGCAACATCGACCTACAGTTGGATCTCTACCCTGTACCTACATTCCCTAGTTTACACAGTCTAATGATGGATTTTCCAACCTGACATAGCCAGCCTTGTTTCCTTCGCACTACTGATTATCTTTTCTACTGGTTTCAACTTTGAACTTCTTCAGTATTCGGGATTCATGTTGTACAGAACAGAATTCTATCGTGATGCTGGACAGCCTGTCCGATTAAAGTTCAAAGATGTCGCTGACTACGCATACATCTACACAACTAGTGTTAACCTGGATACTCTTGTGAGTCAACCTCCCATCCTGTGTTTTATGGTATAAATCTAACCGAGTAGTCTTTGCAAGTTTCTACAAACAAGATAATTGTTTTGCCGTTTTCCAACCCAGTTCACTGCGAACCAGGCCAAATACGCTGACACTATCCAAAGGCAACGCAAATAAGAATTATTCTATATTACGTAGAGCAGTGCATGAGACTTGAACTACCGCGTGCGACGTGAAGAAAAACCCGAACTTGGCTTGGTCGTAAAGAGACCATTTTAGCCCCAGGTTACCTCCGTTCATAAGGAGTTTGCATGTAGCTGTTTGGGAATTCTCCCAAGTGAATAACTTGGCCTTTCTGGATCACCATTTCGGGCAACCGAACGTACACTGTGCTACCGAGCTAATATACCTTTGATTTTCGCTACGTGAAAAAACGAATGAGCCAAGCAGATGGTTTGTTCTCTGAGTCCTGTATATGTACACAGATTCAGTCAATAAATACGTGAGGTAGGGTCGAAATGTGTTTTCCATCACTCGGCTAATCGCGCACAACTTTGATACTGCATTGGCAATACAGAATATCTATGTTAATTGAGTCCGATTTAAATGTTTCTCCTTGAATAAAAGTATTTACGTCTACTCCGCGAAAAGATACTACCTTCCTCTTTAGGTCACTTCACAGCGGCACGTCAAGTGTGTCGCCATTCTTTGGACTGAAGAGGTTGAAAATGTTGCTGTAAGATATTTAGTAATAAGAGCAAGTTAATTGTCAAAACCCGAACTGGCGTGTGGTGCATATGAATCAAACTCTCCCGCACATTTTTTCTGGAATGGGAGTGTTGTGCACTCGAATGATTGAGCCAGAAACTGAGAACGAGGATTGCCGAATGATTGGCTTTAATCTTCTATCAATTTCAGTACATCAGCTAAAACATTAGGAAACACAATTAGCTCAACGAATAGCGAGTAAAAAAGTTAAAAACAACGTGAGTATATAACATTCTTCTCCGCCGGAGGGAGAGAACAATGATAGATGCCCAGCCTCTCGATAGGTTATAACACAACCAAATATTCCACTTCCACAAATGGAGCTATGTAGCGTAAGTCACTGCATAGTCTTGGAAACATTCGGGTCACAGCTCTTCAGTCTCCGCGCGGTAATTATGGTCAAGCGAGATTGATGTCGTAGCCCCTAGCAAGAAAAGGAGTTCGTCATTTATATATATACGTATTTATATATATATATATCACTAGTCCGAAAGCACCCATTAAGTGCCGCTACCCAGTTTCTGAAACATCTTCAGTAAACAGACTGTAATGGTTGGACTGACGAAGCGAATAACCATAGTCCCATGCTAAGAATTCATCAGACCGAAATAAATCTGTTAACGGAAAGTTCACTCTCTTCACCCACTAGAACACAAGTCCAGTGAAATAATGGTAGGCAAAATGCACCACTTATAGACATTATTAACACACCAGAATGTATTGGTCCGATATATTCGACGTACAGTGTACACGTACGCGGCTGATTTATCTACAGCCACGGAGCCATGGGCCAGCCGCGAAATGGAGTGGCCTGATTGGATAGCTTGCCCGCAGAACTTTGAAAATTGGCAGTACCGAAGCTGCAGACCAAACTTTTCTGCCAGCTATGTCCAATTTGGAAGACTCATCTTGAAGGATGCGAAAATAGTTCATTCGTTGAACAGAAATGAATTCCATGGAAAATGAGCATGTACTACGGTATTGTCCTCTTATGAACTGCAGAAAAGCTTACAGCTCATATCTTGCTCAACCGACTGGTAGGTGTAAAGTGGACGTATGACTACAAGACTTTTGCAACTCAAGTTTTATTTGTTCTAGTTTTAATATATAAGCATTTGATCATTTGATCCGCCAGCCTATCCTATCATTGTGGTTTATCTGACGAGCTGCTCTATCTAAATGAAGCATCGGTGTTAAACACTGATATCATACTGTCGATGATGACGATGATGATGAACCCTAATCAAACAGTTTCGTGTGGATACAAAGCCATACAGTCGTGCGGAAAATAGCAATTTGTTTGTGTGATCACGGACCGGTGTATCGGTCCCACCATTCAGATTGACCTCTGTGATTCGGCGGTGTCATGTTTGTTCAGCCCAGTAAGTTTGTTGATTGCGGTCTACGGCATACACCTCTGCTCTGTGTTTACCTTTTTGATCATAGCATTGAGTGTAATCCGAGATGAAGTAAAGGCTAAACCGTGACGTGATCTTCTACAATATAAACCAGTGTTGTAATCAATCGGTATGTAGGTCGTGCAGCGCATGGGAAGCAGAAGTTTTGTGATGTCAGCAATCTTTCCAATGAAATCCAGAAAAACAACCGAGAAATCATCGGGGTTTTCAAACCACTTGATCTAAGGCCGTTTAATACAATTAGAAATACGGTGCATCTGGATAGGCAGCTGACTGAGGGCCTATACTGACGAAACTAGACCATCGATGTATTGACAGATGATAGTCGCTCTGTTAGGTTTTGTTATCCCTTGGACTCATGTGTATTTCGCTCTCCAAACGCTTAAATTTGACAGTGACTACTTTATTTTACTTCCATTAATTACACAGTAACCAGCGGTTTTCTGGTTGCAAAATCGTAAAAAATTTCAGGTTTTCAGAATAGAAAACAAACAAAAGTCTTATATTATGTTTTATCAGGTTTTTCACGGAGCAATATCTCGAAACGACAGGTCTCTGGTCTTCTATTTCAAACCGAAATTCAACACAACCGACCTGTTGATTCTAGTAGAAAACGCAGGTTATACCACCTACAACTCGAAATTTTACAATGATCATAAAGTAAGTGAACATACTTTGTTCACTTGTTTGTTCTTTGGATAGTTATTTTGATTTCCCGAAACCTACCTTATCACAGCGAAGTTGTCGTCACTTGCAGGATTAGAAAGGAATTTGAATGGAATATCGGTGACCTATGTTACAACCACCTTTGTGGAATGTTTTCCACATATTGTCCGTTAAAATTGGTGCACCTAGTATATCTCGGTGAATCGATGGTCAGTGCATAAACCCTTCACAGCTAAGTGACTACATCACAGCAGTTTGGACTCTTATTTCCAATAGTATGAACCTAGACGGGTAGCTGTACTGATGCACTCACCTCCATATGTTCTGGGGGTCTTAGTGAGAAGCTGCAGGCATGTAGTTTGAACAGGCTTTCAGCAAACGGTTTTCAAGATTGTCTGAAAAGTTACTACGAGAATGTGTGTCCCGCGTTGGTTAGGTGAAACTTTTCTGGGCACTGTCTACATATTATCAGTGGCTTTCGCCAGAAGCTAGGTGTCACTCGATAATTATTTTGTAGACCGCACTACGCTGTTCATTTGAGTTAAGCATCTTTGTTCAGCGCATATTCAACCACTCACTGTCCTTTTCAGGGAATAATCGGGCCAGTTTCTGCAGATGGTCGCGAATTACTGGGTTGGTCGTTCATGCCTGTCTGTCTGAACGCGGAGTCACATTCAAAGTGCAACTGGACTCTGGTGGATAAGATAACGGAAAAGTACGTTTGTGCGCAGCTTTTCGTTGACCTGTCATCCTCTTCTGGAGGGAATCACCGGAGATGTCCACCACAAGTTTGAGCCACTCAGTCACCAATAATAGCTATAAGGGAGCACGCAAAAATGAACATCACGGACAGCTAGAAACTTGAGAGTGGCTTCCAAAGAAGAAGACGAATGTGTTTGCCCCTCAGACATATTCATGCGTGTGGTCATCAAACCAGACTCATCCAATTTCACAACCTCGTCAAATTTATGGTCAACCTATATTATGGTCCACAAGTCAGTTGTTAATGGTTTGTCACTTGCTTCACAGGTGGACTGTTCCGATGTGTAACCGCGCTTATTCAGAGGGACAATGAGGCTCACATCCCATCTTCCTAACTGACAGTTTCTCTAGTTAGGTTAATGGAATCGTAGGAGAGCCCTCCAGTCTTACTCCAGGTCTCTTGGTTCTCTTTTATGTCATCGAATTCTGAACAGCATGTTTCCAGCTTCAGAACCAGTCTGTGCGCCATGATAAATTGAGCTGATTCAACTACTGGAGTGGTTGCATATATACGTCTGGCGTGCATTGATGAACTCGTGATAACTCGTGTCATACTTCTGGTTTTCAAATGCTGACACTGGTGATGAGCTTTATTGGGAGCGAAACCCCATTCCAATGTCTCCTCTCTTTGTTGTGGACTCACCAGAATAATCACAGAAGTACAAGAAGGAGTTGTTCAAATGACCTTGATGTGAATGAGAATACAGATTCTCGGGTTTTGCTGTCTAGTCCATATTTGCATCGGAATGTCCCTCTCGCTTTGCTTGCTTTTGGTGAGAGCCGGAAGTGATATTTTGAAATCACCGACTCTAAAACAGATATCACGGGACGGTACTCTGGTAGTATCTGCTCTGTTGTTCTTTCTGATGAAAGCTGATCAAAATGACTGTTTTCCGTTAGCTAGCTTGCTTCATTTTTTGGCGTCCAAACTGAATCTACTGAAACTCAGGGCTTTTTGCACAAAACGGTCATCAGAGCCCTACTTCTGCGAATTCTCGCCACTCGACCCGCGGAGTGGTGAGCCCATTGCTGTCTTGGGAACAATACAGGAATTAACTTGCAGAATTGAGCTATATGAGTTATTGAACAAAGGTGCATTATATGTCACGTTTTTTTTGCGTCGTTGGGTGGTGTAATCGAGACGGTCCTTCGATGCTTGTTGGATGGATATCTTGAATACAAATCACCGATTATTCAACTAAGCCAACTGATTTTCAAGCTGATACAAGAATCTGGTGTGGCTATCAATTGCGTTATGTTTTAAGAGAGGTTGGTTTAAGTCTGTTTCAACGTTGAAAGGTCGACGGTTTTATCCTAATATTGGGGTTTGATTGGACCTGCATGTGGTCTAAACCCTCGGTGTTTCCAGTACATCTCCTCGATACTAGCGGTGAACTCCCACTAATGATGCCCATCGAGATTGTAAAAAAATATCTTACCTTAGGTTGCTGTCAGTGCAAGGTGGTTCGGTGCACTGAAGTTGACGAATCCGCCATCGCTTTCACATCGTTTTCCTGGGTCATACTTCCCCACAATATAGTAGATAGAAACCCAACGTCCCCAGTTGGCCACCCTGCCGATGGGTTAGCACAGAATGCGTCATTTCCCAAGAACGCCGTAACATCGTGTGACTCGATTGATCCGGATGTCCTTATGAAGTAACGAGGGAATACGATACAAGTAACGTCCCTAGTATTAATCGACTCTTGGGGCGATTTCAGCCTCTACACAACCTGCAACACAGCATAGAATTCGTTGGGATTGATGGAATACAACTGCCATCGTGGCCTTTGGTTTCCTCGAGTGATACACACCTGGTCAAGTGGAATTGATTCCTGTTTTCGTCGGTTACTTTAGAATCAGAATTTAATGAAATCACCTGCTTTTAAATGGTCGACAGTTTGATTGATTACATTCTTGTGGTAGTTACATGATGGATTGCACAATTAGTTGCTCGGCACTGAGTTTCCAAACAGCTGAGTTTTTGCTTGTTTATCCATTCACCCCGTCACAAAGATAATGAACATTACCTTGGCGTGATGGTTTGTGCACCTCCGCCAGACTGAAGGAACCTTTCATACCAAGTTGGTCAATGGTTAGATGTTTGACCGACACAGTCTCCTTGCCTTCCAGGTTGTGAATTGGAACATGTGTGGCAACTTGATACATGAAAAATGTTAATGCACCTGCATTTTCCGCCAACAACCACCACTTTCTGGCTGGGCTTTTGAGTCAAAGGGTTTGGTTGAGGGCCATAATCGTCCTGTCCATGGAAGCTCCCTGAAAGTATCTCAGTCCACGTACAACCATGAATTTTCGCAGTGAAGCATCTATGTTCAGCAATTAGTTATGATGATTGTTTATTGGTGGTTGATTGGTTAAGATGATGGTGGTGATCCATTCACGAAGGTTGGTTCCATCATTCAGGGTACTTGCGCCTGAGCTTCCGATGAGCCGTCGACATTCTAGGTTCGCTCTTTTTCCAGACCTTCGAAGGACCTTTAAACGATGAGTTATTTTTCTCAATTTTATTATTACTTGGTTCGAATTCCTTCATTTCAGAAGCTCAATTAAGTTGATCGTGGATGTTCATTTTATGTGCCCCAGTTCATATCAAATAAGTGATGCTGCATTCTGTTGCAGCTTAACAGGAATCTAATTATAATTTTGCTCTCAGGTTTATTTCAGATGTACAGAAGACATCCGAGCAACAAATTGGCGGCAAAAGATCATGGCCAACATCGGGGTCGATATTCGCAGGAATCCTGAATATTGAGTCATTTGAGCGACTGGCTGATACTTTTGTTCAACCTTTGAATTTTACGCGGGTGAGTTCGTTTTTTTTTGTGGTAAACAGTTGTCATAATAACTTAGATCAAAACCCTCAGTAAATTACCACAACAGTTTCTTCATACGGCGAGCATCCCACTAACAGTTCTTTGTAATACTTCTGCTTGACTATGCGTGCAACTCGCGACAGTCAGTTGTCCATCAATTCGGGACAGACCAGCACTAAATGACATCCGAATTCGATTGCATACTTGTGCATTTCTTACCTTGTATCTCGTTTTTTTCACCAGCTGAACGTTCAAAGTATCATTTCTGTTCCTGGTTAAAATAAAGATATACTCCTACAGTTTCCAGCCTTTGTTTATCCACCAAGGATCTTGTATATCCATAACCGTGGTACAGTCCAGCTACACCTATCTTTTTGTGGTAACAGTTGTCATAATAACTTAGATCAAAACCCTCAGTAAATTACCACAACAGTTTCTTCATACGGCGAGCATCCCACTAACAGTTCTTTGTAATACTTCTGCTTGACTATGCGTGCAACTCGCGACAGTCAGTTGTCCATCAATTCGGGACAGACCAGCACTAAATGACATCCGAATTCGATTGCATACTTGTGCATTTCTTACCTTGTATCTCGTTTTTTTCACCAGCTGAACGTTCAAAGTATCATTTCTGTTCCTGGTTAAAATAAAGATATACTCCTACAGTTTCCAGCCTTTGTTTATCCACCAAGGATCTTGTATATCCATAACCGTGGTACAGTCCAGCTACACCTATCCATTACGCCATTGGAAATGCAAAACCTCCGATTGCACAGAAGGCTCTCTGGACTATGTTCTGTTTACCTAGTCAAAGTGCCCATCATTCATGAAGTTATTCACACACTGGGCCAGTTGCAGTTGAACATCCAACTATCAAGACTCTGACAGAATAGGCTATTTTAAGACTGAGATCAGTTTCCTACATTTCGTTTGAACTCCGTAGGAACACAATATAAAACTTCGCATGCTTTTTCACGACCAGTTGAACAGTATTTGTGTTCGAGTTGTACTTTTTTACTAGTCCAGAGTGTGAGACCGCGCCAATCGTTGTTTCGTCTTTATATATCCCGACTTATTTGTCAGAGTCCGGTAGACCACACTTTTTCACTCAACTTATGATCCGAAAATAATGGAAAAGTTTGGTTTGGTATAATTTCACAGACACAGTTGTTTACTTTCGACCTCACGTCGTCGCCGCTTATATGCTCACACATTACGGTTAGGATAGTACGAGCAAGCCTGTGATTGCCCTTAAATATCGTATAACTCACAGTAGAAAATGTTAGTGTTTACTGTCGGCTCACCAGTCCCTTTGTTGTGACTATGTCTCGGATTCCACCGTCCTGAGTTCCAAAAAAATGTTTCCCCTTTCACTTTTCAGGGAGTTCTTCTTGTGAACAACGAAGTGGTTGGAAAGTATAATCAAGCACTTGGTCCACAGCTACGAGTTTATGTGCCCAAGAACTTCCTACACGTTGGTACAAACATCTTCATCTTGATTGAACTGGATAGTTTATGGCTCAACGAGACCATGACTTCAGTAAATAGATCAGTGGGCATCTCCTACCCTTTGTTATTCGATGTTCAAATGCAATGGCATAGGACCCGTGACCGGTCACTGCAATGAGTCCGTGTATCGTGGATACAGTACTCCATGCACTAAAAGTGGATCTCAGGAGCTATACTTTAATTCCATTACTTTTAGTTCATCGTTGGGTTGACTGTGATTGACTCGCTCCACTCTTTTGATTCGAATTTTTTCAGCGCATACTGACTCTATCACCCCACATTGTCTTGATCCTCTCGTAAGGTAACATGTACAGGTAAGGTAACTTAAAGCGCGTTGCATACGCTCTGCTTGTGACCACCGTATGTATAATTCCCGGTTTTACTGATAGTCATGCAAACAATTTTTGTCTGATTGGCGGAGCCAAATACATTGGTTGTTAGTTCTGTGGTCTCCTCCAATGATCCCAAGGTGTACACATGGCGCATCTGTTCCGATGTTAAATGAGGCTGACTGAATCATAGTGGTTGTGCTTGTAGAGCAAACTGGACACGAATGACTACGTATGGAAACTGTTTGAGCATATCCGTTTCCCTTTTATCTTCCAGTGGTGACACGAAAATTCGTTTGCATTTTGTCGTTGCGCATTGATGCGGCTGTCAATGTCTTGTGACAAATAAGCGGGACATCCTAGTTCTTTCGGGCTGTTTTCGTAGTCATTGTTGAAACACATCACATAACGATGCACGCACAGTCCTTTTGTCTGTTTGTAGCGTCTTACTTACTGGTGGTTCGTTTGGATAGAATTTCCTGTCATTGGGAAAGCCAAGCTGGACAAAGAATTAGGGTGTTGCATTTTTTTTGTTTTGCCCGAACTCAAAACGGAAAATACACTTTTACGCAATTTTTGTGTCGTGGTGGCTGTGCCACTCAACTTTTCGTCATTTTCTTAACGTGCAATGCATGTGAGAAATAAGATTAAAAATACCCAACATGAATATGGTTGTTTGCCAACGAAGAAAGTGGTTTCACTGATGATACGTGGTATTTGTAACCTTGTTATTCAGCCCGAATTTGTATTCCAGAAAAAACTGAGCTAGCGTCTCTTATTTCTCCGTGGTGATTGAGAGTACGAGATGTCCAGTTATCTTTTTCCGCAGATTTGTGAGAAAAACGACACGTGTGCATTTAGCAGCCTGTTAAAAAAATTAATGGTATTAAGGGATGAGTGGAGAAACTGACCCACACAATCGAAATTCGGTGTCAGCCGAAAGAAATGTCTCTCACTGAACTGGATGCATTCCATAAAATGGCCCATGTAAAATCACTATTCCTAGTTGCCCATCTGAACGGTGATGCAGCGCCTTAAAGCGTGAATGATACCGTCGCACCAAGTTCATTTTCTGTAGAACCCTGAAGCATCCTCGTTCACTAAAATTGAAAATAATCATCATAGTGAGCGCGATCACAGCGGCGCTTCTCAAATGGACAATATTAAAAAGCGATTTTAATCCTTTAATTATCTGTTTCCAACTGTTTTGAACTTCCGACTACGCAGACCTTTACGAAACCTCCCCTCTAAGTAGTTTATTTCATTTTAAGGATGAACTACCCAAAACCAGCAGATATACAGAACATCAGTAACTCACCATAGACGTAGGATACCTGGAAATTTGGACTGTGTGCTTGTTTTATTTAAAAGGTTTTCCATTTGGAGGTAACACCGCTCCTAGAAGACTCATAATGAAAATTGACCAAATTTCGCTAGGTTGCTTGTGTGATTAGCTCACTCAAGTCGCATTGAATCTACCTTGTCCTCGATAAGTCCCCGATTCATTTACTTACTTCACCCATGTACTTTTGATCTACGCTTTTTCTCCCAATCTGTACATGCTCCATTCACCTTGCTTCAACGGTCGTCCCATCCGATACTGGTTTGTCGGCATGTGTGTGTGGGCGGATGTGTGCATAATGTGCGCAACGGACGACTCACCTAAGCGTGTCCGTGCTCCGTTTGCTGAGTATATTCTGACTTGCTCTGTCGTGATTTCCATGTTACGGCACCGCCAATCAGAATCAGGGGACTGTCCTCGGAAGAGACGACCGCAAAGTTAGCATTCCGCTTGCCCCTGCATGGTGTGCCGACCTTAACATTCCACTGTGCTGCTCATTGACGGACATGTGCACGTGTTTACGCTACAAACGTGGACATTTGATTTATGTTGTGTGACTTCACTTGCCTTTGTGTAAATAGTATCGTAGACTTTTGGACTCAATTCATCCTTTTGACATTCTGAATCGCCAAAACTAAACTAGACTCAAAGTTCGGTATCGGGAATCTCAACAAATCGTGATGAGTGCCAGACGACCGTGTGATTTCTGACGACGTTCTGTTTTCTGTAGCTTAACAATGGTAGCAATAAAGATTTCGAGGACTCATACATCACTCACGTCCACATATCCACCAGAACAGCCTAAATATGACGAGTGTCAATCTAAAACTATTGACATAAGTGCTGCTTTGTCGTTGCATCGTCCACTCAGTAGGTGCGACTAAGGCATGTACGAACTAGCTAAAATGCGACTGGAAAGACTGATAAAATAAACACCCTTGAGTGAGTAGTTAAGTGTGTTAGCGATTCGCGACTATGATATGAGTCCCTATTAAAAGGACTTCGTCACGTGATAGGACAGTTTTGGTTAGTCCTATCACTGTGTCCTTTAGGAAGAAAGGGAACTGTATAACCTCGGGCAAAATACTGAGTTTTCAACAGGGGTTACGAGGGAATTTTTGTACTCACCCAGTGCCGTCTGGTTTGTATTTAACAACAAACTTACTTTGGCATCCAACTAGCTCTGAGTTTTGATCACGCTTTTGTCATAGTTACAATCTGAGTGTACTGTTTCTGTCGCTACCTGTCACAAATAATTCAATCACCGAGGCTTTTAACGGCCTAAATTCATAGTGTTTCGAAGGTGCGATTCCGGGAACAAAAGTGTATCCCTTTATGGTAAAGTAAGCCTAAGTTGACTGTCACCGATCGACCGCAGTCCCACTGGGTGCTGGACTTATGATCCAGTATTGGTTATAGGGATGCTTGCTGGTGGTTACCTCAATCTGCAAAATGACTTTCGGAAACGATTAAAACAAAGTTGATCCATTCAACGGAAGAGCTAGAACTAGCCATTGAAGAATGCTTATTGACTGGCAATTCTACATGATACCTTCAAGCTTGCTGCGGAAATGTGCTGTGATACAATCATCCTCAGTCAAAGCATGTTAGTATAGTTTTGTACACTGTAACGCGCACAGACAGATCTAAATATCTGGAAGGAAACTTGGTTTCAGCTTCTACAGTTTGGTTTTGGACATATCATTGATGGGATGTAGTCATAGTTAAAAAATGATGGCAGTCGTTCTGCTACGTTCTAGCATCACTTACGGTATTGATCGTATTTGATGTGGATCCCTTATGTGGCGGGAAGCCACGGTCCTTCACACACAAAAAGTCGTTGAGGAAGCCAATTATCGCTCAGCATTATGTGTTGGGGCTGCTTAGGCCATTTAATAGCTCACAACTTGTAAAACCTGAAATGTGAATAACGAAATGGCGACATATCGCCCTCCCTCTCCCTCTGCAAACGGAAGTGATCCGAACCATTGGTCGTTCATTCAAGGTCCAAACGGGTCGAGGTACCTTTGAACTGGCATATGCATTCCGTTCCCTTTAAAAAATACTGGGCGATCTTCAAGTGTTCTCACTGAGATAGTGAAATTACTGATAAATGCGTCACGTACCCTTGTACTGTAGTAATGAGTTACTATCCGGGTGTTTGTCAACTTTTTGATAGGGTGGTATGAGGTGTTCCATACCTACACTGGGTACTATAGGTGTCGCGTCTCCGATTCACACGTAGTTTAACGGCGCAACAAACTGTAATGGTCGTCAGCCCTTGTCACTTCGATCGGAAACTTGTGGAAGTCCCAGTTACCATGATTTGTTTCAGTCTATATTTCAATTTCGGAACGTCTCCATGAATGTTACTGGGTGCAAACGAAAATCTGAACGGTCGGCTGATTCAAGTCTTGCGGGGAACAGTGCATCGGCAGACAAATGATCAATGACATATAACAGTTCCATTGAAACATTCTTCCTTAGTGAAGGAGGTGCTTGTCCTTGGTTCTGAGAGGTTTCTTTCGTTCTGGCGGCGTTTCACTGCAAATAAATTGCAAACCTTGCACAATCCTCTGTTTGATGGTGGTATTCTCGCTTCGGAGGATTCCCCGAATAGAGAAATGTTTTCGATACTGCCCGTTTCCGCTTGGCCATGAGGTGCCTGCTGTTGGCTGTGATTTGAAATGCAAAAGGTACTCATGCCTTCTGAACTGAATTCGCAATTCGGTATCTCGGTCGTCTGTACAAGCCCCCATCACTTTTTTATTGTTGTTTATACGTTCAAAGTGTATGAACAGATTGGCATGAAAACCACCTTGTCTAACTCACTGATTAGGAGCAGAATTTAACGTAAAGTGTCCCATTAAGATTTGTAAATTTACTTCTTTAGGACACAACAAGGCCAGCAAGGATACTGTATTTGTTTTCCGGATGCACTCAACATCTCTTGTTTTTCCTCACTGTCTTTCTCTCATTATATATATATAT